AGGGGGATCTACCGGGAATCGAACCCGTAGTCCCAAAGTAAACAAACAAGGGGGGGAGCTACCGGAATCCCACATTCGTAGTCCCAATGTAAATGCGCAATCACACCCAGAAGGTACACGGAAACGNGGGGGGGGGGGGGGGGAGGGAGCTACTGGAATCCCACATCCGTAGTCCCAATGTAAATGCGCAACCACAACCAGAAGATACTAAGAAAGGAAGTACAAAGACAAGCAACAGGTAGTACTAGCCTAACATGCTTCACGTAGTTCAGTCAAGGCAACTTAAACAATTAGGCAAATTGGATCAACTAAACATGCTTTTCTAATCTAACACAAGTTATAATTCCAAGTACAATAAGGCAAATATGAAGGAAGGCTCAATCGCAATATCTTAAGTAAAACCGGATTTTCAACAATTGGCTCAAGTACGCGCTCGTCACCTCGCGTGCAAGGCACTCAAAATACCAAATAACAATATCCTAAGGGGAAAGGTCCCCCACACAAAGTTAGACAAGCCACTTACCTCGAACCGGCTCAAAATCAACTAGAAATCACGCCTTTGCCACGAGTATCCGACTCCAAATGGCCCAAATCTATTCAATTCAATTACATATTGTGAATAACATCGCAAACAACTAGTTTTACTATTAAATTCAAAGCTACAGCGTGAAATTAGGTAAAATGACCAAAATGCCCTTCAGGCCAACGCCTCGGAATCGAATAATTTTCACATTTTCAGAACCCTCGTACTCTCACGAGTCTAACCATAGAAAAATCTCCCAAATCGAAGGTCAAACACCCACTCAAAAACCCAATAGTTTAGCCTATGAAGTTTCACCCAATCTTCCCATTTTTGATCCCAAATTCGAATTTTACTAATGGATTTAACTACAAAATGATGAAATATGACTAGAAGGGATTAAAGAAACGTTACCCAATAGTCTTCTCTTCAAAACCCTCTGAAAATCGCCCTTCCCCGAGCTCAATTTAATTTTTCTAACTTATGAAATCTAACCATCAAAATTTCTATATCTGCACAAGCATTTCCGCTTCTGCGGACAAGGGACCACTTCTGCGGTCCCGCTTATGCGGAAAAGGAGCCGCCTCTGCGACTATCACTAAAAACACGGCGTCCGCTTCTGCGGTTCAATAACCACTTATACGGTTACGCTTATGCGGATTTCTTACCGCTTCTGCGGTTTTCTTACAGCTGACCCAGGACCGCATCTGCGATAGAAGCCTCGCAGGTGCGTAACCGCATCTGCGGTAGGTCTTCCGCACCTGCGGAAAAAGTTGAGGGAACCCAAATTCGCTCCTGCGATTGTGTGGCCGCTTCTGCGGTTCCCAAGCCGCAGAAGCGAAAAGACCAGAAGAGAAAAACCAGCTGCTGCAACACTTCAAAAATTTCTCCGTTAACCACCCGAAATCATCCCGAGGCCCCCGGGACCTCAACCAAAAGCACCAATAACACCTAATACCTCATTCAAACTTGTACCAATCCTTAAACCACCTAAAACAACGCCAAAAACTCGAATTAAACAAGGATTTGAGCCTAAGAACTTCAATTTTTATCAAAATACGCTTTCGATCAAAAACCTAACCACAAGACGTCGAAATGACCTGAAATTTTGCCCACACATCTCAAATGACATGATGGAGCTACTGCAACTTCCGGAATTCCATTCCGGCCCTCGGATCAAAAACTCACTATCGGACCGGAAACTTCAAAAATTCAACCTTCGGCATTTCAAGCCTAAATGAGCTACGGACTTCCAAAATACATTCCGAACACGCTCCCAACCCCGAAATCACCTAACGGAGCTAACGGAACCATAGAATGTCCATTCCGAGGTCGTCTTCATTCTGTTCCGACTACGGACCACTTTTCCACACTTAAGCTCTCATTTAGGGACTAAGTGTCCCAAAACTCTTCGAAACTCAACGCCGAACATCCGGCAAACCAAAATAGCAGAAATGAACTTAGGGAATGCAGTTAATAGGGGATCGGGGCGTTAATTCTTAAGACGACCGGCCGGGTCGTCACAAAAGATCCACTTTGGACATCGAGCATTATTACATACAAGCCTTCTCCATGAGACTTTCTGGTAGTCCCCTTGCACTTCTAATATCACTATACAAGAAAATAATATATTTTTATTAAGGGATAATTTCACATAAATACAACTCACACACCTGACTTGCAGCATAATAGCCTAGATACCACTTTGCAAATCTATAGCCCAAAAAATAATAGGCTAATTCCCGAAAGACGGCTTATTTTGCTCCCAACATACAACCAGTTGTTTTCATTCTGTTGATTTCCTTTGATTATTAAGCATTTGATAAAAAAAATGCAAATAAGCCACAACGCAACTCAAAAATCCTGAATAATACATATCATCTGAAGGTAAGAAATTCAAACACTTTTATGTGCAATTGCTGAAGCAATCCAACAGGATAAAAGAAAAATAAAAACTTGGTAAATGAATTGTAGAATCCCTCCAATGCTCATACAACACATTACACGAAATAGAAGAAGAGAAGGAAGTGTCAAACTTCTGTAGAGGCCTCTTACACACTAACAATGTATATACATCCTTATAAACTGAAAAAATATATAATTATACAATATTATACACAAATATACACATTTATACACAATTATACAATACTGTATAACTTTGTATAAACATGTATAATAGTGTATAAGAGGTGTTTGTATATCCATATACACAATTATACACTAGTATACAGTGTTGATACAAGCTGCTACATAGTTATGATTTTTATCCAAGCCCAATTTCAGATTCGAGACTTCAAAGGTCATAATAATAATTACCAGAACTTCAAACTTCAAAATCTTCCAACATTAGTGGTTATTTTTTGGTGCAAATCAAGTTTGAGAGCTATTTATTTTCAGATCTGTGTGTATTTTCATGTTTCTTTCAAAAATCTTCTTCATTCTTCTGCTTGCCACCATGGACGACGGAGTCTTTCTTCAAGCCTTCTTCGAGCCATTAATGGCAGAATTGCGTGGGGGGTAGAGGGTTTAACTTCCACAAGTCCTCTTGGTACATCTACCGCAATGGGTGGCTTAGTTGGACAAATTCCACCTTTGCCAGTATATTCCCTTAACGCGAAGATATACTCGAGAACATCACAAGAGTAGTCATGATATGGATCATCCTGGTAATCAGTAGGACTCACACTGCGTGCACTGCTACGAAGCTCCTCTTCCTCATCCCAATCCTTTTCAAACCTACAAAACGATGGGATAGGGGGAATTGTCCCCGGTAAAAAATCCAGCGAAGCATCAAGATCTAATGCATATTCAACAAAGTAAGTGTGTGAGATTTCAAGGGCAATCACGTATGTAGGTCGTGGCGGTGGTGGTAGTTGTAAATCTTCAGAAAACTGAAATCGAGTGAAAAGGAAAAAAGAGATTTATGTGGGTTAGAAAGAAAGAAGTGAGAGGCGGTGAGAGAGAGAAGGGAATGAAGAAAGAAGAAAATAATAAAAACCCTAAAAGTATGTCTTTAATAGTGGGCTAAAGGCTGAAAAGCTTTTTTCAAGTTATGTACAACATGGGCTAAATAGGGTAAGAGCTTCAAATGTGGGTCATTTTCGGTTGGGCTATTAGGCCAAGTGACATGGGCTGTAATTCTTTCTTTTATTAATTAAAAATGTAAAATAATAAACACAAGAAAATAATAAAGTTTTAAAATCAGCTGTAACTTTTTAACAATGACGATACTTCAACTTTCTTGTGGCAAAAAAGGAAAAAAGAAAAAACAGAAGGCCTTTACCGGAAAAGTAAATATTAACTGCAACTAGAGAAATTGAAGTAAAAACTTTGAAAGGACATTTACAATATTCCTAATGTCATCATACAAGAAAATAATTTTACTTAAATAATAAGGTCAAACAATGAATACAAGAAATAATGATATTTTTAGTGATAATTGTAATTACAACGTAATACAATATGGAATGAATTTACAAAGGGCAAATATTTTATATTGAAGTTTCATGCTTTTACAATCATATGGCTATAGACAAATTTTATTTGGAGTTTATTCTCCTACGTCCTAGGTTTTTGAGATGCTAAGTTGCTAATTTTTTTATACTCCATTTAATTTTCTTTTCAATTGATAATATAGTCAACTTATTTAATTCAAAATTGATCTTAAGTAAAATTTTATTATTAAAAAACTTCTTCACTGAGACAGTTGTTAACATTGTTCTATAATTAATATAGACATTTGAAAACAATATCGAAGTCTTTATCTAATTGAGTATATAAAATAGATTAATTTACTATTTCACTTACACAATTTGTCCTAACACTTTTAATTCTAATATGGTGGGTGGAGATGTAATTAGCTTGAAATGAGTCTATTGAGACCTTGAAAGAAGAAAATTTACAAAGCTAAAGCTGAAAAAAATTTAAATCAATTAAATTTCAACGAATAAGACGAAAGAAGCATGAAGTTGTAAGAATTATGTGATTAATTGCTCTCGAAGGAAGATAACTCCAGCAGTGCTTTATAATTTTTTTTTCTTTTTTGGTTGGTGTGTCCTAGTAAATTAATATAGAAGGATCTGTTCTAGTAAATTAATATAGAAGGATCTGAATTTCCTTTCAAATTTATTTTTTCCTGCATAAAAAATGAATATCTAAGTTCTGCTTACTAAAAATAGAGAAAGATCAAGTCCCCTTTTTCTTTTCTTTTTCTTTCAAATTCCAGAGTTAATTTTCCAAAAGAAAGTGAGCTTAGTTTCCTAATAAATATAGAAATGGGACAATGAAAAGTTTTCCAAGAAGAAGACTTGTACGTGAAGTACAAGAAAGAAAATACGTGAAATTCCATACTTTCCGCTACTATCCTAATCCTCCTAGTCCTAGGAAACATTGCTCCTCTATAAATATTGTATCAACCGGCTTACAATTGTGCAAACCATAGTTTCTTTATCAATTTGCTCTTTCTTGCTTTGCTTCAATGGGGAGCAGCCATCGTTTGTTTCTCTTGGTATTACTCTTTACTTGTCTTGTTGATCATGTTGTTCCGTCGTCTTTCTCTCCGGCGAAAGAAGCTGTTGGTCCCTTTAATTCCATATACAGTTTCGGAGATTCTTCATCATCAATTGCTGATCATATTGCTGAAACACTCAGTTTGCCTTCTCCCCAACCGTACACTCAACAAGGTACCGAGTTCTTCGAGTCTGGACTGAGTTTTGCGACGCCCGGAGCAACCATCATGAAGCCCTTTTTCTTCCTCAAAAATGGCATCCCAGCGCCTCCACAGTCACATGACCTATCTCAGATTTCTACCTTCATGAGGTTCTTCTATGAAGACTGCTTCTCTTTTCATGACTGCGGCAGAAATAACAAGGTTCTTCCGAAGGCGCTCATCTTTATGGATCAACCCGGCATCAATGATTACAAGCATGCCTTCTTACATGGAAAATCTATTTCAGAGGCGTCCCTTCTCGTGCCTGAAGTGGTGGAGACTATTAAGAATTCAATAGAAAGACTCATCAACGAAGCTGGAGCCAAAACTCTCATGGTTTCTGGAATTCTACCTGTGGGCTGCTTTCCTGGTTTTAGGACTCTGTTTCCCGAGGGCGATTCAATTGGTAAAAACAGATGCCATAAGGGATTGAATATGTTTTCGAAGCTTCACAATGATCACCTATGGCAAGCAATTCTGGAGCTGCGTTTAAAATACCCTGATGTTCACATCATATATGCAGATTACTACAAATCATTCATGGCTGTTCTTAAAAATCACGCGTTCCTGGGATTCAAGACGAAGACTTTGATGAAGGCATGTTGTGGAAGTGACAACGGTCCATTCAATTTTGATGCACAGAAGCAGTGTGGAGAGGAAAGGGTAGCTGTATGTTCTGAAAGGGCTTCATATTTATATTGGGATGGATTTCGATTGACACCCGAGGCTTTGGAGAACCTGATCGATACGCTGTTCAGCAAAAAAGGATTTGTATTCCCAGAATTGACGGTTGGAGAAGAAACAGCAGCAGCAGTAACAAGGCGTCATTCCAGGATTCTTGCACGAGTTGGAGGCATATCTTCTGTTATTAGGCATTTACTCTTCGTCTAAGATAGTTTTCTTCAATTCAATAACATCGGTTTTTTTTTTGTAATTTGTTTGATTCAAAGAGCAGATTCATATTGCTTCACGTGTACAGGGGAATGCCCCTCTTTGCTTCTGTAACAATTATAACTATTCTTTTGATTCATATCAAATAAAAGCATCCTGATTTAATTCAAATATTTTTCTAGAGATGATTCGATGCTTATTAAGTATCTGTTTATCTTGTTTTTATCTTTCAACCTTAATTTTAAGCCTGAGATTGACAAAAAGGGTTCAACTGTTTGTAGAAACTTAGCATCAGAAACACCAATTGACCTGGTTAACAGTAAGTAACCTGATAAGAATCCAATTATAATGATAAGAAAATACAATTAAAAAGAGTAGAAGGAGACACTTCCTCACAAGCTTGAGCATTACATTGACTGAATGTTTTACAGTGATAACTTTTGATTGCTATACCTATTTTCTGATTGCAAAGAAGCTTTCTTCTCTAGAACAAAAAACCAAAGCCCCTCTAAAAGTGAAAATCCAAGATCTTCAAACTTGGTCGATCCAATAGACAGACCAATTGACTGGCTCTGCTGTGGTACAATTTGCCAAAAATAGTGATTTGCCCCTGCAAAAATAATTTCATCAGTCGATAACAGTGCCTTGCAAATATCTAATTTTCTGAACTACGAAAGAAACTTCCAACTGCAACACTATGACACCCAAATCAAAGAATCCCTCTTTCTATCACGACTACATTTAACAGCTTAAATATCAAGGCAACTGGTGCCTCCACTACCAATATTTTTAGAGATTCATAATTGAAATTCCATCCAAAGTTAAAGGTTAAATACTCAATTGGTCAAATAGTAAAGAGAAAGCCTAACCATACTGACTATTACAAAGGGATTACAATTTACAAGTATGCTTAAGCATACTTCAGAAACCATACAGATTATTGGACGACTTTGTCATATCATTTAGTTTCAAAGTCTTTGAAGTAGGAAGTTCAAAAGTTGCTGGAAGTATTCAAGAGCTTTCAAGAGAAACGTCTTCTCTAAGTAAGCACTAAAGTACAGCCTAGACCTTAGTAAAAAGGACATTGATTTAATTGGAAAGAACAAAAAAAAGGGCAGAAAATCAACTTAATGCAACTGCATAAGGAATACGGGGTTTTGTCTCTCAGAACTATTATCATTAGAGTTGATCATAGTTATTAATTAAGTACCTTTTATTCAGAGATTCCATGCAGGGTGGCCGACACTAGTCAGAACAGAATTTACAAATGTGCAAGATCTATCAAGCAGACTTACTATAAACGGATTGCATTATCGATTCCCTTTGCCCCTTATAATAAGAAAAGAGCACATAGCACTTATAGTAGGCAAAAATGTCACAAACAAATACAACACCTTTCTCATTCATAGAACACCTTTGGCCAAGCATTGGCGCCTGTATTATTTTTCTTTTTTTGGAAACCGAAGGAAAGGCGCCTGCATCATTTTTCCGTAGGGCACAAGTAGCAGCGAGTTCTAATATGCAGATGAAACTACTTCTAGGAGAACAAATGTTATTACCAGTTCAAATACTTCGTCGCCGAAAAAGTTATAGCTCCTTCTGTTCAGGATCAATAACTACTGAATCAGGCAGGGTCTTTTCTAGTGACTTCCTAGGCCTTCTGTACCAGAGGAAAGCAAACCACAGAGTTCTGAACAATGCACCATTTGCAAAGTGAGGAATAAAAATTCGACCCCAATATGGATAATATGGTCCCGGCAACTTTAGCAGAGTGAAGAAAAGGCCAATGGCAATCAAATGCCAAGGAACTTCAGCATTCTGGCATTGTAAACAGAGCAGAAACATGTCAGTATACAACCAGAATTCATTCATGTTATTTTCTTCTTGGACAAAGAAGCAGATCAATATTAGACATACAGCACAAACTTTGGTCCACAATTGCACAAAGCCAAAACAGGGACAAGTAGGAACAGGGATAGGATAATTGCGAACTTTTTGTCTATCTAGTTTCCACGTTTTACCGACTAGGAGGCAGTGACACTCAGACGCAATCTAATAGTTACACTTTTTTTCCCTTGAGAAAATATCTAATAGGAGCACTTAATTGGTAATGTCAGATATATTATTTACGTGAAACAAACTGAATCAGCAACATGGAATTTAACCATCAACAATCTTCTGCTGGAATTTCATGAACTATATAGATCAAAAAAGATCACCTTGAGAAATGGAGATGATTCCAGAGCTGCCGACTTTAAGATGCCAGCAATAGCAACACCAGCAAGAAAAGGAAGCAGCGTGATATAAAGCTTCCTCTCATGTGCACAGTAAGACAACTCACTGATTGAGGTAACTACAAGTACTGGTACATACAAGTATTTGGTGACTATCAAAACAATGTCAAGAATAAGTTGAACGAAATTGTCCAGTGCTCTATTCCAAGGGAAACTCTTGACAGGTGTAGGAGTGCTGTCCCACAATTTCCTTGCCCGGTCTGTTATGTTCTCCAAGTTAAATTTGTGAGGTTCTTCAGATTGTCCAGCTGCTATATTCATATTGCAGGCTATACTAGGTCTTGCAATTGGACGTGTCCCGTATGATCTGGTGCTCAAAATGCACATAGTAGACTTGGTCAACTGTCGTAAAATCTGCCAAGATAGAAGGCGACTGTCATCCATATTAAGTGAATAACAGGAGAAACGAAGCAAGCCAGAAAAAATTGAATAACAAGAACAACAATAAACTTAGAGCAATAAAAACAAGAGAAAGAACCAAAACAACGACAACAGAAAAATAAACAACAATACTAGTAGTATCCGACTATTAGTGGGCAATGGACAACAAACAGCCACTAAATGGAGGACTATAAACATCCTGAAATTGGTTTGTCAAACAAAAAAGGAACTAAATTAAATGTATCTTCCCATTTAGATGTAAAATATGGAATGAATACAGTAGCTTGGATTCAATACAAATAACAGAGGGACAGATGACTAAAATTAGATCAAACGTCAGAAAATAGATGAATTAAATAAGTCTCCCGCTGGTAAACTCAAAATGGATATGAGAACATTGCAGGAAAACTTTACATGGAAAATATACGAGAGTTCAGCTTATCAACCTCCAACCATCAAAGAGCAATTAAAATAAATTTCCCTTTTTATCTCTTGCGGAGAAATACAAAAAAAAAGTTAAAAATAAATAAATAAATAAGAAAATCCCTTTCAGCAGAAAACAGATTAACCTATCATAATGCTGCTTTCGACATATTTGAAACTTCAGCTTTCCGTAGTATGATCATTTGCCAAAGTGCTATTTTGTCAGTGTGGTGCTATATAATAAAGCAAAAATTACATTTTTCACACCTACTACTACAGCAATACTAGCAAAGAGTAAATCCAGCAGCCATTAAAACATTTCACCGTACATCGATGTTCTACTAATTGTCTAGCATCCAATACTTTAAACCTAGAGTCATATCCATGATTAAATATTCAAACACAAACGGACGAGCTAAGCAATCAAAAAATGCTAAATTGCAAAAAGAGCAGAACTTTATTAGTGGGTGAAATTCTAAACTTATGTACATAGCAGAAAACGAACTGTGAGAAATAATAATTTCTTCATGTGAAGTGGGTTCACCTGAAAGCCATTGGCGGCCGGAGAATTGAGTTTGAGAGACATCATAACAGGGAACTGAGGTTGTGCAGATACACTCCAAAACTGTGTATAAGAAACTGCCATTTTTAAACTACTTTCAGAAACGCCATGAAAGATAAGGTCTTTTTAGGCATGAAATTGAGGGGTTTAAGGGGTGTTTCTTAGAACTTGGAAGAGTGAAGTCGGATCCGGGTAAACCCACAGCAGCGACTTTGGATGATCCATGGAGCCCTTAAATGGGCCGTCTCTATTTATGGAAAGTATATTATTGAAGCTGAAAAATACAAAGGGTGAGTTTGGTATAACAGAAAATATTTTCTGTGGAAAATATTTTTCATGCACCGAGTGTTTACACCAAACCAATAGATACATGATATGCATCTTGCATATGGAGACTGCAATCATTTAACCAGGGTAAATTATATGCATCCCCATCTAATAAAATTAATTAATCATACAACAACGGCCCAGTGTAATCTCACTAGTGGGGTCTGGGGAGGGTAATGTGTACGCAGACCTTAGCCCTACCCTAAGGAGAAGAGAGGTTGTTTCCAGGAGACCATCGGCTCAAGAAGGAGACAAGAGACGATATATTAGTACCGTCAATAGAATCATTGTCACACCTCCTTTTTCTACTACACCCCCGTAAGGGTATAATAAGGGAGTTTTATCCAATTAAAGTAACAATCAAAACGGGATTATTTGATTAAAAATCAGAGTCGTCACCTGGGAGATTTATGGTGTCCCAAGTCACCGGTTTAGAATCCCCAATCGAGAAAAAGAATGACTTTGTATTACCCGCGAAACAGAAATCCGAGTAAGGAATTCTGTTAACCCGGGAGAAGGTGTTAGGCATTTTCGGGTTCCATGGTTCTAGCACGGTCGCTCAACTGTTATATTCGGCTTAATTATCTGATTTTAAACAATTATGAACCTATGTGCAAATTTTAGTTTTAACCGCTTTTATTTATTTTTAGAGAAAATTGCAACGTTATTAAAACACGTCTCGAACCACGTCACATAAATGCACCCGTGGTTTTTGACATATTTTAACATCGTTGAGATTTGAATTTGGGTCACATAAATGTGCACCCGAGTTTAGGAAGGTAGATTGTTAAAATACGCGCCTAAAGCAACTACGCGTTCGCGCTTTGCGAGGGCCATGGAAATTTCGCTAAATGGCACACCCCAAATTCTAAGGTTGAATTGAAATTTAATTAAAATGAGGGCCACACAATTGTAGTTTTATTTTGCGTGGCACACCTCGAATTATTCTACCCAAGGGTATTCACACTAAAGGCTCGGAGGGTCATAAATGATATATTGTCTAATATAGCTCA